GGATCAAACCCAGAGAGAGTTTCTGGCTTTTCTTAAAAAAATAAATTAAAAAATTTAAAAACCCCATTTCCAAAATCTTTGATGAATGGAGGATTAATCATGAAGATGCCTCTTTGCTCTGTTTCTCTGGAAAATCTCCAACACAGAACGAGTCAAATACACATTACCATTTTATTGTTATGCTCATAACAAAGCCCTGCTTGTAAAATATGACCCATATTTGTTGATATAAATACTGTGTATTATTTCAATCTCCAACACTGAACAAGACAAATACACATTACCATTTTATTGCTATGCTCATAACAAAGCCCTGCTTGTAAAACATGACCCACATTTGTTGATATAAATACTGTGTATTATTTCATAGCATCAGATCTTGAGGCAAATCTTCAAACAACATGAACCAAAAAAAAAGTACTGCAGACTCCAGTTGGGCTATGCCAATATATGGCAGCTGGGAACCTTGACCATCATTCCAGCAGTAATGAGTACACTACAACAAGTAGAGGGCTACTCTTGGTAACTGAGTAGGACTTTCAGTATCTATTTTTTATAATTCTATCTCAATTATTTTCAATGAAGTGTAAGAAAGCATTCAGGAGATGCCAAATTTAATACTTCAAGCATCAACAGGGTGAGCTTCTAGTACTAATGAGATTTTGTAGAACATAACTCTATACTATGCTGCTGTCTCCCCTTATCTTTTAAAAGATAATTCAGAAGAGACTAGAACAAATGAAAAAAAAAGGGGGGGGGTTTTATATGAATAGAACATAGAAAAAGTGAAAGAAAGTTTGCTGAAGGTTCAAAGATCTCCTGGAAGTTAAGCTATGAGCAAATATACCACTAAGTGAAGCAGAGAAATAAATGAGAAAAAATAATGCATAAAAGTTTGATTTGAATCCCAAAATAAAATTTTTGTTTAACTTCTTCACAGCTTCTTTGCATTTGTCAAGAGAGAAAAGCTCAGTTCAGAATTACTTTCTAATGAGAAATTTAAACATAAATATCCCCCAGAGTCAAAGTTTAATTGTACAGTCAACTATGAAATTCCCAATTTACTACAGGTCAGTGAACTTCAAGAGATCTGATTCAATAAAGTACTTTGATCCACACTTATACTTTAAAATACGATTAACTGCTTTATTGAGCAGTAAAAAGTGCATGCTTAAATGCCTTGCCAGCCTGATTTTTAAACAAACAAATCTTACGGTGTCACAAGAGTTATTTGTCCCAGATTCATCACACCTAATTTAGATTCTTCATTAGAGTACATAAATTGGAGAGCTAGTGATGGTAGGATCCCTAGCAAGGTAACAGAAAGAAATAAGTCAGGAGATGATTCATGTCCAAAATGATCCTGTGGCAAATATACTCTGGTATTATATGGAACAGAAATGGGAATCCTTTAAAAATTCATCAATAAGAAGAAGAAATGCAAAGTATGTATTGAAAGCTATCCCCACTTCTGTTCATAACTGAAAAACATGGGAGCTGCCTCCTTTGAACTGGAGAGAAGAAATTTTAAAAGTTGAAGTTACATTATAAGAAACAAGCTGAAATTCATCCTATCCTATGAAAAATTGATGCTACAACACAAAAGTTGCCAAAAAAAAAAAAGATACGTTTCATGACTACACCCTAATTACCTCCAAGAGATGCTTATGACTTTTAACAGTTTCTCTATGAGGTGTTAGTACTCAGAGTAGGAACAAAGTATTTTTTTTAAACTGAATTTAATTCACATGCCATTAGTTGATCGTGTATGTTTATATTTGCTCAATGTCGTATGAGTAAAACACTCAAACATTGTCACTGCCTAAATTCCACTGTTTTGGGGGCTTGCTTGTTTCAAGGGATTTTTTAGTGTGTGGGGTTTTTGTTGTTGTTTTTTGGTTTTTTGTTTTTGCTTAGTTGGTTGGACTTTCTCTTTTGTTCTGGGTTTCTTTGGCGGTTTTGGTTGGTTGGGTTTTTTAACCTCTGACAGGAGATCTTTCAAATGCTTGTATTCAATTTTATAAAGGAAACAGAGTAAAGATAGCTAACATTCAGCTCCCAACATTGCTAGTAAATTTTCTGATGCGTGTATCAAGGACTGACTACATGAATTTGGTTGCATAATCATAGTTTTCCATATAAAAGGTAACAGTCCCATTTGAACCAATCATCACCTTCATTCTAAGCCTCTTAGCATTAGATTTACAGCCCACTCCATAGATGTTTATTAAATAACTTTATAACAGAATGGTGGAAAGTTAAAGTGAATGTAATTAGCTTCTCTTTTATACCAATCTAAACCAGAATTAACTCCATTTTAACTAATTAATATACATTAATGTAAAAAAATCAAATCATGCCAGTCTTAGATAATGAAAATAATCCAGTTTGGACTACAGTAATTCACTGTACATTCCAATCTCCCCTCTGAGAACAGTGGCAATTTCCTCACTGGTCTTAGGAGCACTAGACCTGAGATCATATTTTTATATTCTTTTTAAAGGATCCATGATAATTTCATCAGCAGTATTTGCCATACATCTCAAATCTGCCTCGTTTGATTTATTATAAAAGTTTTGAGTAGTTTAGCAGGGGACACTTCTTAAGTCCTACTGATAACACTTTTTCATCTATTATTAAAACAAGGTAAATAAAAAAGAGTAAAAAAAAATAGAAAATACATGCTTATCAGTACAAATATTAATTGTTTTTTTACCTCTAAGTTAAATATTGCTCACCACTATTATTGCTTTTAGGGCAGTCTGCATAATTTCAGCAGAAATAGTCTCATGAGTATAATAAAGTTGCCTTGACAGTATGCTTAGAAGTCATAAATTGGCTGCTTGCCTAATGTTATACAGATTTCTCTGTCACATAAATTAAATACATTTTTTCCATGAAATAACAGTTTTAATTTGAAATTACCATGGGAATTGATGGTATAATTTTTTTATGAAATAAAAATTTAACTATAATCTTTCCTACATTTAAAAATGCCTTACCATTCCATAAGCACAGAAAGATTCAGAGAGACAGTTTTTTGTAAATAATATATTATGGCAGTTTAACCTTGTTTTTTTAATATTAATTATTTTGAATATGAATTAATTTTTGGAAATGTGTTGGTTCTTCATTCATGAATACTCAAAGTAAAAATACACTACCCTGTTAAAGAGTTGCAAACCACGTACTACTGTTGGTCTGTACTCAATTGCTGTTTGTACAGTGAAACTGTTCTATGAAGTGCAAGTCCAAAAAACCAGTCACCAACAGCTTTTGAGTTTAAAGCTTTTCAATCAGCAAATACATTTCAAAGTAAACACACACACCGTGACAGATCCCTACAGAGAAAGGCTGTAGGACTTCACAAGAAATCATGACTTGGTTCCTATGACTGCCCACAGCCTTATTCTAGATCAGCTACAGAACTCTGTTTTAAAAGAAAAATCCACAGAAAGGACAGGAAAAATCTGTGTTTTATTCAGGGCTTTCTCAACAGATAACTTTGGATTCTGTAGCCTTCCTCTTCTACAAGACTTTCCCAACCTGCATCTACTCAGTTTACATATCAAATTTTTAATCCCTCAATTAACCAGCAGGCCATTTTAGGAGATCTCCAAGCATCTATTATGAGGATCTAGTTTTGTCCCTGATCATTACTGTAGATTAGTTCTCCAGTTCAGGTAGTGATATGGGAAAGGGGAGAGGCTAAGGCACAAATCGCAGGGTGATTCAACAAAGACAATGCATAGTCAAGTGAGGGGAAAATAAATGAAGAAAATCATCTACCACCCAGGAAAGGGTAGCACTCCATTTCAATAGACAGCTTCTTTTACTTTAAAAGTGCATAGACCATGCAGACATTAATGTGACAGATTTACAGTAAACCACATTTTTATATGAGTTGTAAAGGTCAAATTGTCAGTCATAGTCAAAATATGACAAGAGCAACTTTCCTCCCCTTCCCCCATGGCTCTGATCCAGCAAGACATTTAAGCACATGCTTAACCTTGAGTTTTGCAGCAGGACACACTTAAGTGCTTTGCTGGAGTGAGGCCAAAATGCAGGAGCCAGATACAACTACAACAACACCCATGTTTAGTTTGCTTTAGCCAGACCAAGAGGACTGGAGGAAAGGTGATGGTGAACAACGAGATATTTAGTTCTACCTTGCAACAATACACCATAACTTGTACAGGTCAGCACTTAGGGACACAGGATGCTCCTGCGACACAGCGATCACAGCAAGTGTTAGCACCAAGCAATGCAGCTGCTCATTATGAAGGCACAACATAAGCACGTTATCATCTACAGATTTAGATACCAAGCAGAGGTTTTAAACAACGCAGCTGGTATGTGAATTTAAATTTCCAGTATGGTGTCCATAGTAATCCTCCCACAGCTTCTCTGACTGCACACAAGCCCTCTGTCAGTTGTTTGCATTGAGCCCCAGGGGGTCACTTGGCTTGTGTGATTTCAGGTAAGGTACTGTCACCTCTGATTCACAGGCCACTCCACACACTTCCTGCT